TCCAAGCAGCGGATCGCCTTTGCCGTGCACACGGCCTGAGGGATGACAACCTCTGAAATCCAGCAACAGAGTCACAGAAACACGCTGGGAGCCCCCCGTGAAACAGGTAATTCCCTGCATTTACATTGAATACATGGAAAAACAATATGTTCTGCGTAATTCCCGTCACCATGGTGAATTATGGTGGTGTTTAAAGTTGTATTTCTGAATCATGTTCGCATTTCTATACATTTCTATGATGTGTACTATCTGCAACGACAAGCAGCTTCCCGTTTTTCCTGTTTCCTGCTTTCATCAAAACCCCTAAAACACCTTGCCCCAGCCATTGGTCGCCACAAATCTATCCTATGGGGCCTCAAAATTCCTCCAAGATGCCTTGCGCATCCGCTGTGATGTTTGGGTCCACAGGCGTCAAGCCGCCGAGCACCGTCCAGAGCTGCGTCAGCTGCAGCAGCGGCAGCAGCTGTGCCAGGAGCAGCTGCCGGAGGCACTGGCTGCGAGGGCTCGGTTTTTGTTCCGCGTGACGCCTTTTTTTCGCAGGTTGCATCAACTGGTGACATTTTTCATGGTGATTCATGGTGGTTTAATGGTGATCAACTTGGTCTCAGATGTTTATTCTAAAGTGACCAAAAAAAGAGCAAACACAACAATTTACTTTACTTCGTGTGATCCCCACCATGACATTTATACATTTTGTTACTGGCAAATCTTCTGGCATTCTATCTGACATATCTTCTGGCATTCTATCTGGCATTCTATCTGGCAAACATTCTGGCACTTTATCTGGCATATCTTCTGGCATTCTATCTGACATTTTATCTGGCATTCTATCTGGCATACCTTCTGGCATTCTATCTGGCATACCTTCTGGCATTCTATCTGGCATATCTTCTAACATTCTATCTGGCGTATCTTCTGGCATATCATCTGGCAAATCTTATGGCATTTTATCTGGCATATCTTCTCGCATTCTATCTGGCATTCTATCTGGCACAGCTTCTGGCATTCTACCTGGCATATCTTCTGGCAGATGTTCTGGCATATCTCATGGCATTTTATCTGGCATATCTTCTGGCATTCTATCTGACATTCCATCTGGCATATCTTCTGGCATTCTATCTGGCCGTTGAGGTCCAGCGGTGCACACTGAGCTGGGCAGGTCCCAGGTTGAGGTCCAGCGGTGCACACTGAGCTGGGAAGGTTCCCGGTTGAGGTCCAGCGGTGCACACTGAGCTGGGCAGGTCCCCGGTTGAGGTCCAGCGGTGCACACTGAGCTGGGCAGCTCGCAGGTTGAGGTCCAGCGGTGCGCACTGAGCTGGGCAGCTCGCAGGTTGAGGTCCAGCAGTGCGCACTGAGCTGGGAAGTTGGCGAAGAGCTTGGCGACGAGTTGGCAAGGTTGGCAAGGCGGAAGTGGAGGTGGAAGAGGCGGAGGCGAGGAGGAGGGCGGGGAGGACAGCTAGTCGAGGAGGAGGAGGAAGAGGCGGCGGGCATGCGCTCTGATAAAATCTAACAACCCTCACCTGGCAGGTGGGGAACAATTCCCACAAAATAGCATGGGCAAGGGTCCCGCGTTTCTTGCCGACCTCCGATTGTCAAACAAAACGAAGGAAACGAATAGCTATAGAAAACGCAAAATCTTGATCCGCATCAAACGGTAGTGTTGAAGCAATGTCCATCCTTTCGTCACTTGAGCAGCAATCTGGGCAACAATATAGAATATATAGAAACGCCAACCTCTGATAGAAAAATGTAATGCCTCCTTTGAATTCCTTTGAGGGTTGTTCCTGTCACATCCTGTTGCCAGGTGCCTCAGTATCCATGCTGTGGCGGCCACTATCACCAAAGTCGTAGCACAGCCCAATCCGATTGAAAGTCTCCTTGGCAGAGGCTGAGAAGAGAAACAACGGATGTCATCAGGCCTGGCATCTGGCAGGTAGGTCATATGGTCAAGCGAGCACCCCATACTGTGGATAGTTGATGCAATTGGTAAAGGGAATATGAATCTTCGGAACTCACACCACTTTACTTATTTTACTTTGCATGAAAGAGTCTTCTCCGACGAAACGTTCTTGCATTCGACGCAGATCTTCTTGCTTGAACGGTAGTTTTGTGCGCATGAAACGCACAGTGGGCCAGCACGTCCTTGGAACTTCAGCACACAAAAGCAACAAAGAATCGAACCACGACTCGAACACAATTTGGACATCCAGGTTTGGGTCCTTTGAGTCTCGAAACACGTTCCGTCCAACCCCTTCCCAGTCCTGGCGTACAGCTGGAGTTCCTGCAATGTTGACGGTCAAGGCATTCGAAGATCTCTTCCGAAGGCTCCTTCAAGCGGATGCAGCCCGGCTCCAAGGGCGCTGTGGCTACAAGGCTTCCAGGTGCATTGCAAACCAGGTGCAGTTTGCCACAGGAGAGACATTCGTGGTCAGAACTGAGCGCTTCACCGGGGTTGCAACGGCATATCGTCTCGTTCTGGACATTTCCAGGTACGCCATAGGGGCACTCGCAGGCCGAAAGGGCCTGAGATCCAGCTGGAGCCTTGCCGCCCTCAGGGCAGGCTTGACACTTGCTTTGATCCATCTGGTCGTTGAAAGTGTTTTGCAGACACCTCGAGCAGTTGGTTCCCGAACCAAAGTGGCCTGGGCTACAGGCGCACATGACATCCGGCAAGAACCGCTCTGCTGTGACTTGCAAGTTGCGTCTCGCCAGGTCGTGGCACGAGTATCCACCGGTCTCTCTTGCGGTCCACATCTCTTCCATTTGCAGCTCGGTGAGGCTCTCTGTTCGCCAGTTCCGTGTCCATCATCCAGAGGTCCTTTCCTGACTTTGCCAGAGCTTTGATCACGCGCGGGCTGACGCGCAATGGGATTTCATTGCGGCTAACATCCAGCCGCAGGTTCGCAAGAGAGGCAAACACCGCATTCAAGCGATTTCCTGAGAGATCTAACAGCTGCAAGCGAGCTAAGTAAGGGCTTGGAACCGGGAGCTTCGAAGTGCACGTTGCCTGTCAGACTGCATCCTGCAGCAAGGATGCTGCTGATTGGATTCTGCACCAAAGCCCCAAACATATCCATGAAGCTGACGTTCAGGTTGCAACCACTCACCTAGCCATGGAACTCAGACTCTGTTTCTGAGCAACAAGAACTGTTGAAAGGCTGAATGCGACAACAGGTCCGAAACGGTCCTAAAACAAGACTGACCAAGCTATGATAAAGAACTAGGCTTTCATGCACATGGATGACATTTTTAAAAAACAGGCATCTAATGATGGACTGGTGCGGCCGTTGTCATTCCTTGTTGACTGGAAAGGACCGCTCAAACAATGAAGCTGTTTCTTTCTGCTTTCCAAAGGCCTTGAATCCTTGACCTCATCCTCGCCGTCTCAACGAATTGACCATGCTTCTTTCTTTCCTTCTTGGCACACTCATTAATAGCCTTTTGCTTTCCGCCAGCGTTTATCCTCTCACTCGTATTGCACTTTTGCTCTAATCTAGGTTGAAACTGACCTGCATTATCACATTTGACCAATGCAAAAACGACCCTCTATTTCGCACCAACTGCAAACCCGGAAAGAAAACTCAATGGACATCCATGTTTGCAAACATGGCATGGAGGACATTCCACTGACAGATCTAGTTCAGTCTGCTTCCCCACGCCAGTCTCGGTCCAAAATGTTGGGAGTGGCTATGTGCTCGAAGTATCTTGAAGTATCTTGAAGTTTCCAAAGACTAACTCTGAGTTAAGTTCCTGAAACAAAAATAAAGAAAATGTCACCAAACAATTAGGTTTCCTCTGATGGCATCCCAAGGTAGAATGTGAACATTTAAGCATTTAAGTCAAATTGACAATATTTTGTGCTTGTTTTCTTTCTTGGTCTCGCGCGCCTCCTGCTTGATAGTGGGACATTCTGGGGGTTACCATTTGCAGAGCTAACTTTGAGGCCACAACTACGGGAAATATGATTTGAATCTCGCAAAACCACATAGCGAAACCTAGAAACCTAGACCTCAAACCATGCAACTGAAATATCCTGAGATATAGCACCTTTATTTCATGACGTAAAGTCTCTATGAAAAATGCCTACCTTTTGGGGAGGCACGTCAAAAACTGCAAACAACGATTACAAGGCTGGGATGGTCTCTTTTTGCCAGAACTTTGGTTGCAATCTTTCCAATCCGTTCAGGGGACAACCCCCTCCTCACTTTCTCACTGAAAAAATAAGCCATTTGTATATGTCAATGCACCACATCTTGCCTAAACACACGGACCTTTGCAGATGGAGAGAAAAAACCCGCAGGATCCAGTTGAAAAAAGGAACAACAATTCAGTTGTTTGTTTTCCGAATAACATTTCTTGACGTCCGATGCCACACAGGCGCAGTGGAACATAATCTCCTGAGGTCACAGCCACTGTAAACTCTGATCTAAGGTGCTGGCATTGAGAGATTGCAAAGCTGGGAGCCAGATGGTCTGTTTGGAAAGATGAGAAGCATGAGCACCAGGTGATATCCAGACTTGCGTATCCTCACAAGACAACAAGATTTCAAGCTGTAGAGCCACACCAAATGCACAAAGGCATGCAAAAACACTGCTGCAAACAATTAAGGCTGGCACTCCAAGACGCAGTTCGCGGAGATTAAGACAGCCCCGCTTCACGTTAGTCAGGTCCCCAGATACCGCGGTGCCGGACAAGTCCACCTTGATCACATAGGGCATGCTGGTGATGACAGTGATATCGCCATGGACTTTCGTCTGGGAAAGTTGAAGGTCTGTGAGCTTGCGCAGTTTCGAGAGCTCCCCGACATCACCAGCCACCCGTGTCTGCGAAAGGTCGAGGTTCCCGAGTTCTTTCAGTTTCGATACTTCCCCGAGCTCGCCAACGATCTGTGTCTGGGAAAGGTGAAGCCTCGTGAGCTTGGTCAGGTTGCATAGCGCCGACACATTGCCCACCACCTGGCTCTGCGAAAGGTCAAGGACTTCGAGCCCCTTCAGCTTCGATAGCTCCGTGAGGTCGCCCACAACACGTGTGTGTGCAAGGTCAAGGATCCAGAGTTTCAGCTTCGAAAGCTCAGCGATGTTGCCTCTGACCTGGCCTCGCAAAATCAGGCGGTCCAGTTTCGTCATCTCTTTGACGGAACTCAAATGCCCTGTGGCCTGGTCGCTCTCAATGCTCCGCACCTCGCAACGATTGCAGTCAATGCCCATCCAACGACACGGATCTTGCTGCTGCCCTTCTCCAATGCCCAAGCCCTGCAGCTGCCCTCGCAGCTTCTGCTGCGCTTCTTCAGGGCACCCCAGGGCCTCCGACGCGACAACCTGTCAACTGGGCCCGAAAAAACTGAGCCAAAACCCGTGGGTGTCTGTGGCTTTTTGAAAGGAATCTCAAAAGTCTTCAAGATTTGTATCTTGGGATCTTCAAGATATGTTGTGGACTCAGCTTTCTCGAGATCATGTTTGGAAACAGACCTTTTGCGCCAAAATTCCATCAACTTCCCGGCCTCCTTGCCCTCCAACAGAAGGGAAGATCTGTGCCCCAAGTCCTCAGTCGAGTTCGTCAACCATGTGCGAACATGTCCAATTTGGATGGGAAAATCACCAGATTCTTCGAGATTCCTTTCACTGCAGAAGATTTGCTGGAAGACCTGCAAGTGGCCTTCATCTTCCTTTTTTTCGGTGCTCCTAGTCTTGTGGCAACTCTGAACTTTCGCATTTTACCCAACTCAATTATACTCAATGGCTGCCCGGGCCTCCTCATCGATGGGTGGCCGGACAGCAGCGCACAGAAACCATAGCTGTGCAAATATGAAAGGTATTGGGCTCACGCCCATGATATTTTTTCAAAACACCAACATTTTGAGCCAATCTTTGGCTGCACGCAACACTTTGAGGCCACACTGAAAATGCCCAAGGCTCACACATCTCAGCCATTTGGGGGTCATCAGCATCCCGGTTTTGGGACGGTTTCCAATGTTTCCAACATACGACACACAACACCACCCATGACGGATCCATGGTGCTGCTATGTATGATGTGCCATGGATCCCATCAATATACCCCAGTCATGTTAGCATTTATAGCAGCACCATGGATCCGTCATGGGCCAGTAATGATGCGCCTCCGATTTTCAGCCATTTTCGGTTTGGACATTTTCGTCATCCGCTGGAGTTCCCGCCGGAAACGAAGCGGAAGTCTATGAGTTGTGGTTAAACTATGTTAAACTATCAGTAGAAATCACCACCAAACTCGATTCTGGAGGAAAAAATGAATAAAAATGATACATTCGAAAACCTTGTCCTCCATCCTCCAAACTAGACCCTCTCAGCAAAATCATGTTTGGTGGATCCTGGAAAGCCATGCAAAGTGCTCGCGGCGCCGCTGGGATGGTCCCTTTCGGAAAGAAACATGACTTTTGTCCTGGAAAAGGTGAAAATTCTGGCAAGCTCATTCCATTCCTGTTAGGACTGTTTGGATACGTTCTCGTTCATGGGGACCAAAAAAAATCCCCGCATCATATCACACTCATCTCTGCTAAAGCCTGTGGGCCAGTTGCAGCGGTTTCACTGTCCCAGCCTTTGGAAACATCTCGCAACGCCGCACTCAAACATGCAAAAAAAATTGGCTGTAGTGACCACACAAGGCGATCATCATTCTTGGCAGCCTGGCGTTCAGCACCATTGGAAGTGGAAAATTGGCGAATGTACAATCGAACAAGCGGTTTACAGTGCTTACTTGTTATTTACAAGCATCGTTTGATCATTTGACATGTCACACATTGCGTCCCTCCGTGCCATCGAGTTTCCACTAGAGTTTGTTGGAAAATTTGAGAAGGATGGCAAATACATTGTACACGGAGGTGTTTGCAGTTTTTGTCCAAGGCTACGTAACCTATGTGAGTCATATGATATTACATGTAGCCTGTGTGCGTGTGTTTTGCAGGTCTTGCTGCAACTCTTGTCAAGACTGTGTCTTTCCTGTTGGTTTCCAAAGAGGATACGTTTCCCTTTCGAAGTGGTTCAGAAACATCAAGCGTAATTTTGCGGGTTTTGAACCAAAACGTTCTGACACTGCATGTCCTAGCATCCTTTTGCTGCAATTTTTGTCCAAACCGTGTCTCAATACATTATAGGCGTTTTGAAAACGCAATTTTGCGCTTTTTGATCAACCGGAAAGCGCTCCTAGTGAAGGTGTGTTGAAACATTGAAACGGGATCTTTCCCTTCGGTCTCACAAGCTGCGTGGACACATCTTCCCGTTCTCTGAAACGATTCCAACCAATTGCTCACCCCTACACGTGCAACCCTTCCAGCATCGCTGCCTGCGAAGCTCTACACTGACTCTACACAAGATGCATACAGACATTTTGGAGAAACATGTTGAGGTTTCCATCCAAAATTAGACCATTTTATATACCATCTGGTTATTTAACATAGCCATAGAAAATGGCCCATTTATAGATGGTTTACCTATTATTACCTATTAAAAGTGGTGATTTTCCATGGCTATGTTAAATAACCAGATGGTAATATCATTGAAGCCCATGGTTTGGGGGACCACATTTTAATAACCCCCCCCATGTAGATACCCAACAAAAATCAAACTTAGCGCTGCACCTCCTTCAACTGCCCAGCGCAGGCTTCCATGGATCACTCGTGGATCTCGGCCTGACACTCCTCCGAAGTCCGAACTTGCGTCTCCTCAGAGCAAAAGTGATTCAAGCGATTCAAGCTGTTGGCTGCAGGTGTACAAGAAACTCTTGCACTCTTGCTGCACAGAATTAAGGCTGGAACTCCCAGATGCAATTCTCGGAGGTGTCGACAGCAGCCCTCCAAATCCTCCAACTTCCCTGACACCGCATTGGAGAAGCGGGCCTCCACCAAGTCCGGTATCTGGGCGATGAATCCAACGTCTCCGTGCACCTGGGTGTGGGCAAGGGATAGCTTGTGGAGCCTGGTTGATGTCTTCAACTCCGCCACATTGCCAGAAACCTGTGTCTCCGACAAGTCGAGGTACTGAAGGCCTTTCAGCTTTGACAAATCTTCAACATTGCCTGACAATTCGTTCTGGTACAGGTAAAGAATCCGAAGGCTCTTCAATTTGGATAGCTCTGAAACATTGCCCGAGACTTGGGTCCGGTAGAGGCGAAGGACCTTGAGGCGGGTCAGATTTGATAGCTCTGCCACATCACCAGAGACACGGGTGTCAGAGAGGTGAAGGCTCTCAAGGCTTTTTAGCTTCGATAGCTCTGCCACATTACCTGACAACTGGGTCTGGTATAGGTAGAGGCTGTTGAGGTCTGTCAGCTGCGACAGCTTTGCCACATCACCAGAGATGCGGGTGTCGGACAGATCAAGGTTTTGTAGACCTTTCAGCCTTGATAGATCTTCAACATTGCCCCACAACTCATTCTGGTAGAGGTCCAAAATCCGAAGGCTCTTCAATTTGGATAGCTCTGAAACATTGCCCGAGACTTGGGTCCGGTAGAGGCGAAGGACCTTGAGGCGGGTCAGATTTGATAGCTCTGCCACATCGCCAGAGACACGGGTGTCAGAGAGGTGAAGGCTCTCAAGGTTTTTTAGTTTCGATAGCTCTGCCACATTACCTGACAACTGGGTCTGGTATAGGTAGAGGCTGTTGAGGTCTGTCAGCTGCGACAGCTTTGCCACATCACCAGAGATGCGGGTATCGGACAGATCAAGGTTTTGTAGACCTTTCAGCCTTGATAGATCTTCAACATTACCCCACAACTCATTCTGGTAGAGGTCCAAAATCCGAAGGCTCTTCAATTTGGATAGCTCTGAAACATTGCCCGAGACTTGGGTCCGGTAGAGGCGAAGGACCTTGAGGCGGGTCAGATTTGATAGCTCTGCCACATCGCCAGAGACACGGGTGTCAGAGAGGTGAAGGCTCTCAAGGCTTATTAGCTTTGATAGCTCTGCCACATTACCTGACAACTGGGTCTGGTATAGGTAGAGGCTGTTGAGGTCTGTCAGCTGCAATAGGTCTGCAACAGTGCCTTGCACCTGGCTGCCTGAAAGGTCGAGGAATTCCACATCTCTCAAGTCCTCAAGGTGCTTTAAGTGTCCCGTGGCCTCGCTGCTGTGGATAGAGATCACCTTGCAATCCCTGCATGCAATGCCCGGCCAATCGCATGGCTCTCCCTCTCCAAAAAGGCCCAAACCCCTCAGCTGCTTCCGCTGCTTCTCGGAAAGCTCTCCGCCGCACTCTGGTGCCTCAAAGGCCTGGCACTGGGTAACTTTTGGGGAGAGTAACTCGCCCAAGATTCTGATAATTCTTTCCTTCCCAGAGCTAGTCTGAAGAACACAACCTTTCCTCAGCCTTCTTGCTCTCCAACAAGAGAATATACACCCAACAAAATTTGGGACTTGTTGTAATTCCCCTTGCCAACAGACCTATGCAAGGGACCTACAAGTAGATTTGTGAGGAATTCTGGTAGGCTCTCTTGACTTTCGACTCCCTTTAATTGCCCTGATCCATCACTGCCCAGGCCTCCTCATCGATGGGCGGTGGGACAGCAGCACACAGAAGCCATAGCTGCACATATATGAAAATAAGTGAGCTCACGCTCAACATCAGATACTTCGAACCTCAGCAAACCTCAGCAGTCTGAGCCGATTTTTGGCTGCACAAAACGCTTTGAGGCCACGTTTGTTCGCACGCCTTATCACACCCGACATCGCATGAAGCATCCAATCTGTCAACGTCCAGGTCCACCAACGTATTTTCTTCATGTTCCGTCCGAAAAAAAAAATACTGCAACTACACTGCCAAAATGTGCGGAGGTTACTTCTATGGGATGGTACCGAGAGCCACGAAAATTCCGCATGCCCCAAGTCTCTGTCGCCCCAAGCGTGTGGTCTACGTGCTCTCAGGGCGATCTTTTTTGGCTTTCCACCAGGAAATCGGCTGCCGCGTGAAACCGATGCCTAGCTCCAGAAGCCTCCCTTCAAAACTGGGAATTCCAACCAACTGTCGACTCGCTGACGGCGCTGGGTTCGCTCCTGTTCCTGGCATAGTCTCGGGGGTACGGACCTCACATTCGACCCTACCGCAGCCTCACATTCGACCCTACTCCAAAAGAACCGCACGCACCCTCACATTCGACCCTACCCTAACAAAAATACGCAACCCTTCCAGGAAAAAAACAACATTTCCCGGTTCACATTTGACCCTACCCCACTTTACCCTGCCTCAAACCAGACATCCGTGAATCAACCCCCTTTGAACAATCACATTCATTGGTATCAAATCAACCAGCCCCCCTTGAACAATCACATTCATTGGTATCAAATCAACCAGCCCCCCTTGAACAATGACATTCATTGGTATCAAATCAACCAGCCCCCCTTGAACAATGACATTCATTGGTATCAAATCAACCAGCCCCCCTTGAACAATTACATTCATTGGTATGAAATCAACCAGCCCCCCTTGCACAATTATATTCATTGCTATCAAATCAACCAGCCCCCCTTGAACAATTACTTTCATTGCTATCAAATCAACCAGCCCCCCTTGAACAATTACATTCATTGCTATCAAATCAACCAGCCCCCTTTGAGCAATTACATTCATTGGTATCAAATCAACCAGCCCCCCTTGCACAATTATATTCATTGGTATCAAATCAACCAGCCCCCCTTGAACAATTACATTCATTGGTATGAAACCAACCAGCCCCCCTTGCACAATTATATTCATTGCTATCAAATCAACCAGCCTCCCTTGAACAAGGACATTCATTGGTATCAAATCAACCAGCCCCCCTTGAACAATTACATTCATTGCTATCAAATCAACCACCCCCCCTTGAACAATTACATTCATTGGTATGAAATCAACCAGCCCCCCTTGCACAATTATATTTATTGGTATCAAATCAACCAGCCTCCCTTGAACAATTACATTCATTGGTATGAAACCAACCAGCCCCCCTTGCACAATTATATTCATTGCTATCAAATCAACCAGCCTCCCTTGAACAATGACATTCATTGGTATCAAATCAACCAGCCCCCCTTGAACAATTACATTCATTGGTATCAAATCAACCAGCCCCCCTTGAACAATTACATTCATTGGTATGAAATCAACCAGCCCCCCTTGCACAATTATATTCATTGCTATCAAATCAACCAGCCCCCCTTGAACAATTACATTCATTGCTATCAAATCAACCAGCCCCCCTTGAACCCATTGAACAATTGAAATTACATTCATTGGTATCAAATCAACCAGCCCCCCTTGAACAATTATATCTCATTGGTATCAAATCAACCATTGAACAGCCCATTCATTGAACAATTATATACATATCAAATCAACCAGCCCCCCTTTGAACAATACATTCATTGGTATCAAATCAACCAGCCCCCCTTGAACAATTACATTCATTGGTATCAAATCAACCAGCCCCCCTTGAACAATTATATTCATTGGTATCAAATCAACCAGCCCCCCTTGAACAATGACATTCACTGGTATCAAATCAACCAGCCCCCCTTGAACAATTACATTCATTGAACAATTACATTCATTGGTATCAAATCAACCAGCCCCCCTTGAACAATTACATTCATTGGTATCATCATCATCATCATCATCATCCCCATCATCATCAATCGTCACATTGGGACCGGATAACCCCACATCAACTTCTTCAACCAAGAAGATGGGAGGGGAAAGGCAGCAAAGGTAAAGGAGATGGTGGAAGACAGATTGTGTGAAAGAGCTGTGTGTGACAAAGTTGTATGTGACAAAGTTGTGTGTGACATCATCATCATCATCATCATCATCATCATCATCATCATCATCATCATCATCATCACCATCACCATCACCATCACCATCATCACGATCATCCGTCATCATCAAAGTCGTCACCATCATCATCATCATCATCATCATCATCATCATCATCACCATCATCACCGTCATCATGATCATCATCATCATCACCATCATCATCATCACCATCATCATGATCGTCCATCGTCATCATCATCGTCATCACCATCATCATCATCACCATCATCACCGTCCTCATGATCATCATCATCATCATCATCATCACCATCATCATCATCACCATCATCATGATCGTCCATCGTCATCATCATCACCACCACCACCATCATCATCATCATCATCATCATGATCATCATCACCTCCGGGACCCTCTTTTCGCAGCTAAAAACGCTACTTTCTCACATTCGACCCTACCCCAAAATTTGTGTAGGGTCATATGCGAAACCATTGGGGTAGGGTCAAATGCGAGGCGCGTACCTTGTCTCGGGATCTTCGCAAAATATGGGGTCACCAAAACTTGAAGGAACAACATCAACAGGCTTAATGATGGCTACAAAAACCATCTTCCCAGCACGGAACCGAATGTCCTCGTTGGCACGTTGAGACTCGAGACCGCCACCTGGAAACAACATTAACTGAATGCACGCAGGCGTTTTCAAACACCGACACAGGCACCAGAAAGATGGGGGAAAAAAACAAGCAAATGCAAGGCAATAGTCTCAAAACAAATGCAAGGCAACAGTCTCAATAGTCCCACTTGAAGCTGAAAGTCAGGTGGCCTATTTGCACCCAGCCACTTTGGCGAGCAGAGCTGCCTTCTGTTTCATGCAACATTCCGAATTTCCGCGACCTGAATTTCATGTTCCACTTGCTGATTCGGCTCTGAAAGAGGCATGGGAAGTGCGGCACCTGCCGCGCGAAATGATCATCATGTACCAAATCAGAAGGACAATATTTCAGAACGCGAAACTTTCGAGCCTTTCACTTTCAAAATATCATCCACATTCACCAAAAAACGCGCTTGCCATGAAAAAGGACCTCCGAAACCACCTCTTATTTCGACCCATGCCTGCCAACGTTTTAACATTGTGCACAAAGTGCCACGCCAGCCATGCGGATGAAAAAGGAAAACACTTTTTTTGGGCCTCATTACATGTCTTTTGGACCTGGGCACTTTTACTGGACCTTACTACAATTCTTTTGGGGATGGCTACTCTTCTTTTGGACTTGCGCGTCCTCCTGGACCTCATCCATCCCTCATGCTCGACCTGGCCCTTTCCCAAACCATACCCCTGTCTGCATCGCAATTTTTCAGACAGCTGCACTTTATTTTCCCAAACCCAAAAACCGTGGACATCCTACCCAAACGCGTGCGCACCTAAGAAACTGGTATCACCCAAACCAAACCTCACCCCAGCTGCACTCATTGCAGTTCAAAAACATATACATATACATATACAAATATATATATATATATATAATTATATATATATAATTATATATATACATATTCAAACAAAAACTCACAAATAAACATGCAGTCGCCAAGCGATCTCAGCTGAGGAAAAACCGGATGGATCAAATCACAAGTCACAAGTGAAAAATGCTCAAACGAATCGCACACTCTTTTTACTTCTTAGATGATGGGGATTTCACGCCGCCCGCTTTCGGGGGTAAAGAAAAAGAATACGGCATGTGCAAGTGGCATTCCACATGTATTCTGTGAGACAAACAAAGTGCTCTCACCACAAAATTGTGTAGGGTGGGGGGGGGGGGTTCAAAAAGGAAAAACACACCACTAAATAAGTGGACCCACCCTCCCTCCCTTTGGAGGCGCTTACGTGAAACGAAGAGGCCACACGAATATAGAATTCAGTGGTTGCTTGACAGAACATGTTAACACTTCAGTTTACGGTTTGTGTGTGTCATCCTTGCGCAGATGTGCAACAAAAAAACAGAAACATTGCTCACAATGCATTTTACCAAGTGTTTGGGGACCAAGGATTTTCTCAGGCATCGAACGAGCTTAGGATTCGAAGTACCAGAAGTACCTGCAAAAGACCTGCAAAGAATTAGGGATGTCATGCTGTTCAACAACCGTGTGGACCAGAAACAGGATATCGCCTTTGTTGAAGTTTGTTGCGGGACGAATTCAGCACTTAGGGAAGCCTGCAAGGTAGCCAGAATGCCCTACATTGGTATCGTCAAACGAATGGAAACTGCTGACATGTTTCAGAAGGTGAAAGAATTCGTTGAGATACAACAACAGCTAGGGTATAGATGGGTGCATGTGCATGCTTCCACACCGTGCAGTTCAGGATCGCCCCTCAAGAACTTTTCAGCACAAATTGAATCTGAGGCTGACAGGTCATGGAAAGGTATCATGGACAACGTTTCCAAGTATTTGCTGCTGGGGAATTCACGGTCATTTGAGTTGCCACGAAACAACAACATTTGGAAACGAGACGAAACGAAACTTGTGTTGAAACAGTGCGGTTTGCAATTTGATGCTGAAGTGTTTTTTGCCAAACTGGAATGCAAGCTCCAAACGGCTTGCCAGTAGGAAAGGTGTTAATTTTCTGTAGTGCTTCAGCCAGTTTCTGCAACTTGCTCACAAAGAGATGGGGTTGGTGCGAGTGCGACAAGCATGCTGGGATGTATGATGTGAACTGGACCCAAACAGGTGCGTACAACAGAGAACTTGCCAAGGCCATTTTGGCCGCAGTACGTGCGGGTAGGAAAGATCCCTGAATGTGTTTTGTTTGCACAGTGCATGGAACGACCAAGCGGAGAAGTTTTTTTTTGACCTGCATGTGCATGAGTTTCCATTGGAAATTTGCGTGGCAGGTGGAACTTTTTTTTTGCACGTCTCCGGACGTCGCCAGTCAAGTTTGAAAGGGGGGATGTGCGACCTTATTTCATT